ACAAGATAAACATGTTAATAATAGAGAATGAAAGGATGAATAGCCATGAATCTGTTATGTGACTACAGATGAGTCTGTTCAAAAAAGAATATAATACAATATGATACATACTAGGAAGTTTTATTAATGTTGTACTGGAGAACTCTTGCTTTTTACTGTCCACTTAAATTTAATAGAGTCAACCAGATGATAGACACTGAAGAAAGTGGATGCAGCTAGTGGAGCACATCATTCATGTCACGTCAGTGGACTATTACCCTCTATTACTCAGTCCCATGAGAGACTCTTTAGGAATGTAATGCACCTTCTTATAAGGTATTTGCCAGTCAGTCTGCTCATGCTTATTTTACAATAAAACTGTTAAATACATCACACTAAGAAATTCTTTCCCATCTTTCATAGTTAGACTGTTGTATAAATGGAGACTGCAACCCTACCTCTTATTTCGATATTGGTTTCCATGGGTTAGATTGTAAGAGTTGCTCCTAGTGCATGTGTTTTCATGGAATATTTCAATGGTGTGGACTGAAATGGGAACACTGTGATCTCCTGGTGTTTTAAACAAAAGCCTCTATGAATAAAACCGGTCAAGTTTTTATGACCTGTCACACTGAAGTCGTCCTAGCGACTCTGATTCTGTTAGAACACTTACCTTACTGAGATACTAGGGGTAAAGAAAATCTGAGTGACACGGACAAAATAGGGAATGGCTGTTTGGTATCTCTCGCAGTACAAGAATTAGAAGGACTTACATTATAATAGCAGGTAGCAGGTTCAAGCAAACAGAAAGAGGTGTTTTCTCAACAACTGACAGAGGCTGTTGTGTTTTGTAAAAGTTTACATTGATCCAAGAAGTGACTGGAGAGTTTCGTGAAAGAAAAATACAGTGAGGGCTATTAAATACAGAGATAACATCTGCTGGCTTGAGCTACACATGAGTAAAGGCTGGGAGAACACTGTGGTATGAGGTTAGTCATATTATGTGGAAATCTCAAAGGGTGGTGTTTGCATACATGGCACTAAAAAATATATCTGAAGATGAAATGCTCTAGCAACATTAAAGGCATTTCACAAGATTAATAAATACCATTAATTTCATAATACTAATTATATATACCATATATATACCATATCTCTTCAGGTAATGGAATCTGGTTTAATTTGTGTTCTTTTGTGCCAGCAAAATATTTTGGTATCTATTAACAAATCCTGAATTTCTAGAATACAGAAACAAAGGATTAACAGAACTTAGATATACAAGTATTTTGTATAGATTAGATTAGACTTGCACTTATATCAAATATCCAGTCTTCAATTACTGAGATAAATGTTTTATACCCTTATTTGCCCCACTAAAATTAATATATGTTTTGAATTATTAATATAAAACAGAAAGAAAATGATTTTCCAAATTAAAATATCATCTGTATCATCTGAAATACTAGTGTTGCTAATTTTTCTTGTCTCTTTCTCACCCTTCTGTCTCCTCCTACTCTAAAAAGACCATCCTGTTTTCTTTACAAATCATGCCATTCCAAAGGGTTTCAGTTCTGTACCTGGTCCTTTGCATTTGCAGATACTTTATACTTTTCAGATCCTACCGAAACTTCTTTCATGTTCTCCTCTGTGAAAACCTTATTTCTTAATCATTGCATGTTCTAAGCACATAGCGTGAATCAATCCCTTCCCTGTTTTTGTTATGCAGTGACTTGGGTAGATCAGATGGTGAACAATCACAAATACCATGAAAAAGGCAGCTGAGGGTCACACTAAATGTTTAATATTTATTGCTAAAATAGGTTGAAAAACAGGTGAAGAGAAGAGGAATTACAGGACTCAGAAGCATTCTTTCTGTGAGGAGCCTTTTAAACTGCTATTCATCTGCCTAATCTGCCATCCACTGTTGAGACAGTGGGCTTTTTGCTACTTAAACTTGTAAGAATGTATAGTACTACTAATGAACTGTGTTTAGAACTTACTAAAGTGATTGGAATCTTGGATCAGCATGATGAAGCTTAAAATAAATGTTTATATAATTCTGGCAAGTAAGGAATTTGATATTTCCTAACTTTCATGCTATAAATTCTGTGGAAGATCAATAAAATTAATATGAAGTTTGATCCCTGAGTAGTAAGCAAATCTGGATAGGATTCACTGTGAAGGTCTTGGCTACTAAGGAGTTTTCAAAGTAGTCAGGGAGGCTGATGTTTGTCAAGTAATTGTTGAATGTTATGCATTCAGTAAGCAGCTATTTTATGGAGGAAGTTTTAAATTACATTTTATGATAACAAGTTGTTAAAGGTTTATGGAAACAGCATGGCTAATTTTATACGCATTATTTGGAGAGCATCATCATGGAAGCAATGAACGAACATAATTTCCTTTTCCAAGGGAAATGATTGCTGTAGTAGAGATAAGAGGTTACAATTATGATGACAAGCTATTGAGATGATTTGAAGTGAATGCATTCAAAGTTATATATTTCTGAAGTTTCTGTATTTTATGTATGTGAACTGTGGAAGTACTTCCTGAGCTTGCCTTTTCTCCATAATTAGAAACAAGTTACATTGCTTCTGGTTGATAAGCCATTAGTTATTAGCATGGTGCTAAATTTGCCCTTGTACCAAATGACCCAAAGGGGAAAAGCTGTCTGTTTGATTACAATAATAATAGCTTTTAACAATTGGATTTACTTAGCTAGATGTTAATTGATCCACTTACAGCCTTCTGCAAAAAGAGTTTGTGAATGTTACACGAGACCTCAGGGAGCTGCAGGCAAAAACTAGAAGACATCTGGTGAATTAAGGATTATGAACTGCCAAGTTCTATTGAAGGAAAACTACATTTCAGAAAAGGTCTCGGTCAGTGCTGAACATTAAAAAGAATTATTCAAACTTTAATTGTGGAGAGTGGTGGGAACTATCTCTTTATTGTGTAGTTTCAATTTTCATGTGAGAAGGAAAATATAGGTGGTCTGAAAAAATTAAGGTCTGCTATAAATGAGAAGTTGGAGTTCATTCCTTATTTTCCACTGTTCTCTGGATTTCCTTGCGGCTGAAGAGTGGAGATATTTTTGGAGGGTGTGCATGGTTAAGAAAATCGATAATTTAGAAACTCAAAGGAAAGATGTTTCTGTGGCCAGTAATCTTTCAAGAAAAACAAGTGACTGATGCACTGAAACTTGGCAACTGGGTTATCCCCAACCTTATATAAGGTGATAAATAACATTTGAGGTAGACAGCTATTTGCAATTTCACTTAAGCAGAGCAGTATTTTTAACCTGAGACACGCAGGTTTCTGATCCTTTTCCCTCACCCCAAACCTTTCTATCTTATTTAACTGTAATCAGTTTTGACCTGTCCCACTCCAAGTACAAGAAAACTTCATGGCCATTAACTGCTGGTCTGTATATCGGTCAAGGGGGAATATCCATTTAGCTATTGAACATAGCTAGGTGGCCAACACACTCTTCCATGAAAGAAAAACCAGCTTCTGCATGTGTCTGGTTGACTAGGTTCAAATATAATTCCCAGAGCCTTCCTTAGGCACAAGTAGTACATATTGCCAAGAAAAACATTACAAGGGAGCTTAAACAATTGCATTACATATGTCTGCAATTCTGAGTAGTACAAGCCAAAGCTGTTGCAATAGTAACATAAGAATTTACATGGAGAGGGAGTATTTTTCCCCTGTTTATCACATGGAGATGCTTAAGTCTTCATGGATAATATTTTATGTGTACTTTCTGATGTAAAGTAAAAACCAAAATTTTACAAAATTGAATTAGATGTCCATTACAGCACATCTGGTGCTACACTCACAATATATATGGTACAGTTGAAATACCATGGCTCAGAAAACTTGTCATCCCTGCTGTACTAACCTTATAGTTTACAATGACTGTTTCTGAACCTCCATTTCTTCGTGTTAGATCAGGCTGCTAGCTTTTAAAAATCAACTTAATAATAGTGTATAGTTTAAAAATGTCTCTCGTTAGTAGAGAATGGAGGCATTTTTTCCCATTTACATGTGTAAAATTTCTCTGAGTCTCAGCACTGGGTTCCCAAAGAAGGCAAAAGCAATGCTATGCACAGGAGTTGCAGCAGACTAGGAAAAGGTCTGTTCTCACTTTAGAACACCTCAGACTCTGCCATAGCAACTGCCCCACTTCCCTGAAAATGGCTAGTAACAGTTGTTTCAGGAGACACTTGTAATACTGTGTCATGTGCTAAAGGTCTGATCCAGCCAGTCCCCCTGTATCCTTGTGTATTTTTGAACTTTATGTAAAGTGGTGGTGCTAATTGTCTATCCGGTGTGTTGATAGACTGAAAATATGACAATTTGGTTTGCAAATTACTATAACTAGTGATTAAATTGGTGTTGGAAACTGCTAGGCCAATGCTTTGTTACACACTCACTCTGCAGGAGAACATAAGGACTGTGATGGGTCATAAAAAAATCTACAAATGATATTGTACAAAGCAATGCTAGTTGTATATTTTGTGTGGTGTATATACAATTATATGCAGTTTTGAGCAGTGATCTTACTACTAGTTTCTCCAGAATAAGAAAACAAAATGAATGGGTAGATATTGGCTAAAGAGTTTAGAAAATAGTTGCCCCTTGGCCATGCCTCTGTAAGTACTGTTTTTCCAGACTATTGGTCCACACCTTTATTTATTCTGAGAAATCAGATTTTTAGTTTTGGTGGAATACTTTCAGTGAAGTACTGCTCCATTGGAGCTGATGGTAGAATTCTCACTGGCTTCAGTGAAATCAGGATTTAGATGTAAGCCACATACTACAGCCCTCACTCACTTCCCTACAACTACAATTCAACATTTGAAGACAAGATTACCTGAAGTCCCATTGCTAAATCTATAGAAGGGCGATTTCCATTGTAAGTAAAAAAATCAGCTTACAAGGTCTTAAGCCCCAGTATCTTGTTTTATACCAAACACTCCTATTTTGGCATAGTCAAGAATTATGTTACACACACATTTATAGTGTTTAGTATCTTTAATTGGCATTTCTAAAAATAGTTTTATTTGTACTTATTTCTTTAAAATGATTTGTTAAAAATATTTTATTCTAACTATACAGTTCTAATGTGATCTTCATTTCTGTGTTTGCTTTTGACACTGGGGATGTTCATTACTAGTATTTGGAGATTTAGTGGTAAGTGTGTAAATTCTACTGTTCTTCACTTCTGTATCAGCAGTAGGCTCACTGTACCTTCTTAAAGACCTGCTTACACTTGACTCCACAAACTCTTATTTCCTAGGAAGAGAAAACAAAAATCATAACTTTTACATAGGACACATGCATTATACATTCATGTTTATGTGCAGCTTAATTTGAATCCACAAGTTTCTATCAAATTAATTGGGTGGCTTGTACATATTTTAGCCTATTTTTAATCCTTAAGGAAACCAACTGGTTAGGGTTTGTTTTCCGGTGAAAGGTGGAGTAAGAGAAGTTATTTAGGGAACTCAGATCTTAAAGGTCTTAGATACATTCCTGGTGCATTATTCTCTATTAGCAGTGTGGGCGACTGCTTAGGTCTTTGAAATGGACATTCTCTATTCTGAACACATAAAAAAGTTATTTGGGGATGGACTGAATAACTAGATCTGAATCTGTTGATGATTAAGTAGTTGAAACATACAAAACCAGAAATCAGCCAAAAGCCCACTCTGGCAACACAATGATCATAGCTAGAAAAGGACAGGTAGTTGTGTACAGAAGATTTGATCTAGGTCTATAAATCACAGCACAGCAGTGAGTTTTGACTGAACTTGACCATAATGGATGCCTAATGTTTTCTGCTGTTCCTTTGTGTCCCATGAGAGCTTTTCAAAAATCCCTACTTGCTAGTCATTGGATCATCGTGAACTACGCATAAGCAGGTGCAATGATGTTTTAATTTTGGGCACTGATTTGTGAGGCCTACTGTTGTTTACCTAATCTCACTGAGGATGCAGTTTAACCTTCTCCATTACCGAAACTATTTAAGTTAGACCTGAGACAAACACACAGTATGTGTGGAGATGTGTGGAGGTGTTGATTGGTTTTGGTGGAAGAAGGAGTGGAACTTCTTAAGGGACATAATGACAAAGGTTATATATGACCTGGCAAAAGGGATGTACTTTCTATTTCAAGATAAGACTTATAGTAAATCTGTTAGAGTATTTTGAGGAAACGGGAGGCAGAGTTTCCTCAGAAGTTATGCACATTTTCTTATGGGGCACTTGGATAAAATGACATATTTAAAAAACCTTATACCGAGTAAGTAACTTTATTGGCGTATGTTGCTCGCCCCTAGTAAGAGAAAGTTCTTCATGATGAATTGACGAAACAAGCAGACTGATACATTGATTTTATTTAGGACCTGTTTTGTTCACTTCTGTATAGGTAACCTGAACGAAGGAGTGTGCAATAAGGGCTAAGAGATGTGCTGACAGTGACAAAAACCTACAGAGCAGAAGCAATCAATACAATAGAAAAGGACAATAGAACGCAAAAGGAAATGGAGAATGGTCAAATAAGTCACTCACATAAAATAGAATCTAAGGAGGAAAAAGAACTACAAAGTACAGACCACAGAATGAAATGGAGAAAATAGGAAGCGATAAACTTACTAAAGGATGTGGTACTACTCTCTACAGTACTGTGGAAAGAATTAAATTAACACTTGGCTCATTGTGTAAAGTTCAATAGCATCATAAAGCTATCGAAGTATCAATTTTTAGAGGTAACTTCCCATTGAATCAAAGGACTCTCAACAGTACAGGACCCAGTAATCTTAGCTGGTCAAAAATAAGATACTAAATGGGACTCTTTTACTGTATGTTTAATGGAGAGAGTTACATTGACAAGGATTCAGAGAAATAAAAAAGACATCTTTTGAAGTTAATGAATATAAAAAGTGATAAAATTGAAATATGGGGGACTAGCCTCTAAAATACTGGGTTACTTCCTTTGCATGAAGTAATTTTGTATCGACTGATGTGTACATGAGAGACAGATTGTGTTAAATTGTACAAGTGCCACTGAGTGCATGGATGCCTGCATGAGCTGGCAAGTATGACACAGAACTCTTCACAGCCTTCTGAAAAAGCAGTCTCAGATCAGTCAGGCTACCTTGGGGTATCTAAAGTGGCACTAGACTCATATGTTTGAGCAACTGAGTCTGAATTTATGACTTCTAAAATCAAACAGGGTCAAGTATAGAGAGTGGTCTAGCCTGGAACTCCGTGGCTAGGTTGTATGGCTAGATCATGAATCAGAATAAGGATAGCAGAAATCAGGGCTAAAGAAATTTGTGTTGGGGACAGGACATGGGAAGAGATTATGGCCACGCAGCTGGTAAGGGACAGAAACCAGGATGCCAATACAGAGAAAACCAAGAGCAACTAGTGCTACTGCTTCATGGATGTGCAGATAAATGCATGTATGTGTATGACTGCAGCAAGGTATAAGCTGAACCTCTAGGCCAGACAACGTATGACTAATTGCAATCCGCTTGCCAGCATAGACTCTGAGAGGGCTGAGGCCTGGTGTCATGGCAGCAACTGTTGTGAAGCTGGGAGGTAGTGTGAAAATACTGAAGTGTGTTTTTGGATAGATAGAGGGAATATGTATACACAGGAAATTCTGGAGTCTCCTTTTTATTGCTTCTCCCCTCATTTCAGTGAGCCCATGACCTCAGCTGTAAAGTGACCACTTACACAGTAACTTTCTCCCTACATGCATTATATCAAGTATGTAGTCCAGATGGTAAGATCTGTCATATACATTCCTTTCCTGAACTGTTTTTTGGGACTTCCAGTACTTCCTGAAAATTGTGTTTAGTAGTAAGGGGTTTGGGGTACTTTTGCAAAGATTTCATAACTCTGCTACTGATTTGTATATTTAGAGAATATCCATTTAGACTGCTGAATGCTAACAGTACTGGACAGTGAACAGAAACGGAGGTTGGATTTTATTAGGAAGGAATTCTTCCTACTAAATAAATAAAATAATTTATTTAGTAGGGAGACTGCCTTTTACCCACATTGATGAGAGAGTGAGGATGCTATATAGAGCTATGTGAGAAAAGAGCAGGCATCTTCTTTCAGGTCCTGTTAACTTAGAAAGATAAAAATGATGATCAGAAAGAACATGACATTTCAAAACCTTAATTGCTGTTTTAATTCTCTAGGCTATAATGCAGTCTGGCCTGTAATTATTTTAAGAGAACAATGGTGCATTTTCCCCTTATGGCTTATTGTTTGATGCATAATTTCACCAGCTCCCATACTGTGTATTTCACAGACTGTATGAAGGACATCCTGTTACACGTTTTCCTCAGTGTAAACATTTCAAACTGGTATGTCTGGATAGACAGTTAACACAGAAAGAGTACTGCCTTGAAATCAGGCAGTCTTTGTATGGGACATAAAAGCCTAATGGCTCCAAATGAAATTGTTGCTTTAGAAACAAGTCAAATGCCATGCCAATACATAATTATGTCAAAGTAAGCCAAGATAGCATAGCACACAGCCTCCTGCATTACACCTAACCATTTTAATAGAGTGGCATTTAAAACCTGTTACATGAGCTTACCAGGTGCATTTCATCTCCTTCAATCCACTGGGTCCAACCACGACCTTCTTTTTCTCCATTCTGTACACAAAGAAGCTTATCTCCATCCCAGGATACGGTGGTCTAACAAAATAGACATGTTCAGTGTTACTGTAGTGTTCTCTGATACTGTGATTAGTTTCCTTAAAGCAAAACTTCTAATATAATAAGTGATTAATGTATCTCATAAGAGCAGTAATTGTAGAGTGTTGTAACACTTAGAATAATTACTAAAGAAATGAGCTTAAATAGGAAGTTGCTGCCTAACTGCCTGTCAAAACCTGGAAGGATGAAATAAAGCTATTTAAATGCAGAAAAAAATATCATAAAAATCACTGTATAAGAGCATACTCCTCTCTCCCTGTTGACATATACAGCAGCAGAATGGATGTGCACCCTAACACTGTGTTTGCAAAAGGAGCTGAAAACTTGAGATTCAGTTTGCTTTTTCCACCATAAGAAGGATTCCCCAGCTGCTCTACCTGAAAAAAGTACCCACCTCCTGGCAGCTATGGATGAGCAAGGCTTTTAAATCCTGAGCTGTTTTTTCCCTGTGTCTTAATCTGCCTTCTGTCATTGAGCAGAGCGCTTTTGAAGTATCATCAAATTGGTTACGTTGCCAACATCCTACTTTGTGTAACTGTAGCTGGAGAACTACTTGAGCCAGGACTGGCAGAATAAGAGCCAGAGGAAGGTGTTGCAGGATTCAGCATAGCACTTCTGTGAATATTGGTGCTGTCCTGAGTAGAATGTGACTCATAAAACTACCTAAATGTATGAGGGTGTATTCTACAGCTTGTTACTCTGGTTCGTCTTTACTGATGATTTGCCTTTCACGTCTCCCTAAGACAAAGAGAAGCAATACTCTGTAAAATATTTAGAGGGAAGGGGAAGACCAGTGACAATTCGTGTGCCATGAGGATAGTTTAACATTAATATTAGCATATGGCTTTTAAACCAGCTTGTCTGAAGTGAATCTGAGGACTAAATATGGAATCACTGTCTACCTTTGTCAAAGTCTTCAGCCACTGACTGTATGAGTAGTCAAATATGGAGAGAAGATGAATTCTGATCAATCATTAAAGGAAAAATTACTGCATCCATCGTGTGTAGTTTCTAAGAAAATAAGTCAGCCTACATTTTTCATTCTGGGAACTAAAAGCAGTTCAACATTCAAGAACTATGCAGCCCTATTTATTTAATTTGTGTCTGTCACAAACAATTAATTCTTAAATGATAACCATGATAGTCACTATCTTTAAATGAGTACAGCCAGCAGTCTCCACCCCTGGGAAGCTTTAAACTAAGCAAGCATGGAAAATGAATCACTAGAAAGAGTGCCAGCATAGATAATCCTGGGCAAGGCATTGTTATTGATCTCATATAGTCTGTTTGCACCATATGGGGTCTCTGAAAGAGAAACTCATGTGTCCTTGCTAAAAGTTTCTCAAATTTGGAAAATGCATTCACAAATTCTTCTGTTCATTCTTCTAAAATGACATATTTGAACCAAGTAGTAGATCACATTTTAAAAAAGCCATATCCTTTTAATGTATAAAATGCTAATGCAGGAAAGAACAAAGCAGTTGGGTAAAGCCATAGTTAATGTGGTCATCAAAGTTTAAATCCTCTTCCATATCTGTCTTGAATCTGTAGACATCCAGTTGGAGATAGAAGATAACACATAATACTAGTAAAAGTGAAAAATGTTTAATTTATAAATTAACATATCTAAGAATTTATGATGATTCTAAAAATTGAATATATAAGAAAATTAACCTTATTTCTACTGATGATTTGTAGAGATGAGGGATACTGCAGAATTAAGCATTTGTATATGCAACTTTGCTTAGTAACAACACTTATTTTTATCCACTATTATCTCAGCATAGTTTAGTCATTAGACTAGCTTAATAGTCAAATTTTGTGGGTTTATATGTGAATTCAAAAGCAATATACCATGATAAAGTAATATCAAACTTTATTAGTACTACTAATGTTTAAAATCAGTTGTGAAGGTTATTAGTCCTGATAATATTCACTAGATTAGTATACTCGGGTGCAACTGAGGATGTTTGTAGCAGCACAAGGAAAAGTTAAGTTTTTCAGCCTCCAAGGGTGATTGAAATTGTTTCGTCTCAGAAAACAGCATGCTTTTTTCTCTGGATTTCTTGTTTTTCCAGTCGAGATTAGATACTGCTTTTGGCAATTTGGTGATAACCAAGAAGAGTGTACCACAGACCGTTAACCAAGCTGTTTTATCAGCCAATATTCTCAGTTATCATCCTCTGCCTTCCCTTTGAGAAATACAAACACTGAAGGGATATAAGTAAACCATACAGCTACTGATTTTTATATGTGACCATTTTGCTATGAAAGTTATAAAGGAGAGAATATATTGCAGGAGAACTTAATGTCCTCTTCTTTGTTAGCAGGATCAACCACTTTATGACAGTGAGATTAATCATTAGCATTTTTATATTTTCTTTCTTTCTGTCAAACTGTAATGTTTCATATAATAAAAGACACAACTAATACAGGGGATAGAAACTTCTCTATTAACTCAGATGGAAACATGTTCTTCCATTCCAAATATCTCTATTGAGACACACGTTGAGTATTAGTTGAGGTTGGAGTTGTTATGGCAGTTCTATAAGCACTGGCTGCTGCTAATAGTCAAGATAAAGAAATGCTTTACTTTTTAATAAAGCAAATTTTTCCAGAAAAGTAGGCTTTTATAATTAACCGTGTTTGCCACCATTTTGATAATAGCATTACCTAAGATTTGCCTGATTGCAGACACTAAGCTACTGTCTCCTATCTGGAATGACTAAAAATCTTTGCCAGGGTTTGGAGAGCACTGCATCCCCAGGCAGACAGTTCCTATTCTTCATCTTCCTCCACAAACAAGAGGAGGAGAAGTAGAGAAACTCTGAGGACACTGGAAAGCTGCAGTGTCCTGATGGTAACAGAACCAACTAGATGAAAATGTAGTATTTCTCTAAAACTGAAGTCTCCTGCCTTTTTGGGCATCTTGTACTACTTGCAGGATAAATGGAAGACTTAATTTATTCCTTTCAACTAGGTAGTACATAATCTAGTTCATCATAAGCAAGCCTATGTTTTGCTTACTTACTACCTGATTATGCTTAAACCTAAGACAAATACTTCTTAGGTCAAATGCATATAATTCTGTAGGAAACTTCAATAGAAAATAGTGATTAATGCAATTTGGCAAGAGTGTGATTAAAAATACAGAAAGAGCACAATAAAAGTTAATGGAGTGAGATATATAAGAGTGAGTCTTGTCTCAATTTAACTTTTTTCAAAAATTCTAACCACCAATATTGCACATTTTTCGGATTACACACTCTTTGTTCTTGAGGTGTAATAAGAGAGCATGGAACTCCTCTGGGAGGTGAAGAAGCCTTTGAAACCTGAGAACACAAAAATGTTCAAATTTTCTTTAGTTTTATGATACGATTTCTGCAGTATTACACTTTTTTGTGTACTTAGATGTTTTCCTTTTATTACTTGGACATTCACTTGGCCATAAATCACATGTTAGTGATTTAATCTTTGTGTTATGAAGATTTAATTACATGTGCATAGCAACACCATCTTCCTGAAAATTAAAGCTAGAAGAAATGGTAATTAAAGTAGTCTCGTTACTGTTTCCAGTTATGAGACAAGGTAGATTTATCGAATGAAATATTTAGTATAAACAAAACAAATCTATTGACTATGTATTTGCATTTTCTCTAGTAGCAGTAAGAGTAGCGAAGTGTTGCAGAATTACAATAGATACTACTTTCAGCTTCTACAGGCAAGTCATATTGACACACAGCCAGAGATACGGACTTTCATAATTCAGTGAAATAGTCATCAAACTATTTTATCAGATAACTTTAAATTTCCCAGTGATGTCTAAGTGCAAAAACATTTCATGCTGGGGCTGCACAATGTTTCTCATCCCGATGTTGGCTATACCTAGTGTGCTTGCTTGTGGCATGTGCTCTGCAGTTGAAGATACATAATGTATTTTACAGGTAAATAAAAGAAAATAACTTTTTTTTTAAAGTAGTCCATGAACATTTTTTGTTAACGCTACATAGATTTTTGACACATTGCATTTACAAATATGAATTGCAGCTACCACCTTTCATCAAAAATATGTTATTGATTTCTCATCTGTAGGAGAAACACAGCAGTACCAGTTCTATTTTTCTTCCACTTCCCTTCAGAGTGTTGTCTCTCTATCATGGTGCAGCAATGACTGCAATGCTCTGAAACTGCACTACATACTCCATGCAGTATCAGTCCAGTAATTCTCTATGAGAACGACCAGCCATTTTACAACTGTAATTATGATTTAAGAAGGATTAAACAATGGTAAGTAGTTGTTTAGGTCAGCTGACACAGAAAAACCCCATTTGAGCAGTGTCTTGCATTGTGTTTACAAATAACACCAAAGAAAATATCCTAGGATTTTTTGTCAAACGCGGCAATATGTCCAACGATATTTAACAGTGTCTCAAGATAAAGCATTTTCATCTGTACTAAGTATCAAAGTGATATTAAAACCTCTGGTAAGCAGTCTGCAGGGGAAATTTTCATCAAATGAAGAGCTGATGGAATAAACAAATGTTGATATCACAGAGAAACTCTAATGCAACTGTGAAGGGGTATTCTGTAATGTTGTAGTCGCTACCTATGACCTTCTGTGAAGGAGGCATGCTGCACACTGCTAACAGGAGGGCTACAACCAAGTTCAGAGTTTGCCATTTCTCCATCCTGTAACTCCTTTTATCTCATCAAATCGGCACCTGGCAGGTTGATGACAGACAAACTACTGAGAAAACAAGAAACCCAAAAGAAAAGTTAGTGGTGTATTCCTGGACTTTATCTCAAGATACTATTGCTGGACAATGGTTATACGTATTTAGCCATCCTATAGTTAGGTTGAATGATTTCCTTTCCTTACTAACTTCAGCTCAACCCTGTAGAAGCACTTATAAATCTAACCTCCCATTTCATCATTCCTATTTTTAACCATGCAGCAACAGAACTCCCTAAGTTCACTC